CACAATTAATGCTAGAAAACTCACCTCCAAAAGTTCAGCAAAACAGTCCAAGGTTTTGCTAGAAATCGTGGTAATCGTCTGCAAATGAAGCTGATGAACTGATGCACTTCAGAAGAAAATTCCTGAAACACAACCTGACGATTTTAGAGTATAAGATAGCACAGGAAATTGTGCTCATTGGAAATGCCTTTTCTATTATTACTGCCTTCAAATGCAACTGAGAGGAAGAAATAGATACAAGAATACTTGCAAGCCTCTTAGTTTCTGGGCATGCTTTGGCATACTTTAGCATTGCAGTCCATGGCAAAAACCCTTCCTCTTCTCCTGGCTGAGAAGGGAATAAGAAAAAGAAAAGGGGAGGCCAACAAGTGATACCATTCTGTTTCTCTGATCTGGAGACCAGGTTTGTCACCGCCTTATCAAACTGCATCCTAAGCTTCGGGATATTTTGTGTTTTCTTAAAGCTCTGGTTGCTAGAACTGAGAAGTGAGCCCTTATGATTTTAGAGAACACCTATTAAAAATTGAAGACATTGCAAGGTTTAGAGCCTAGAGGGTAAATACTGCCAACTGTCTGTTTCACACTTTTCTCTTTCCTTTTTTTCCCCTACTCCCAGGAGTAAGTTGGTCAAACTGGCCACCATAATGGCATTTCTACCTCCTGGGACACTAATGGTTCAGACAAACCTGTGGTGAAAATGGAAGATGTCATTTCTGGGTTTTAAGCTACCTTTTTATGTGCTGATGGTGAGAAGCTATGGACACAAGTTTCTGCTAGGGCAGATGGTGAAGGAGGTGGATTCTGGGCTGTTGGGGAGCAGTGGCGGTCCAGACCTCAGATGCACATCTCCTGTCTGGTCTTAAGGGGCTCTGTGCTGAAGAAAGAGGAGGAGGAGATTTTTTGCTTTCACCATAGCCATGGCATAGGACTGAAGTAATACCTACTGGATTTAGAGCTGTTTCCTGCCACAGGTGGTCTTTCTTCTCTCATGACAGTGGCTACATGCAAAGGCACAGATACTGCATCTGAGAAACAGGGCTGTGCTGACAAACAAGGGATGGGGTACCTGAGGTGTTCCACAGAGCTGCTGCCTTGGTGGGTATGTGACTGGATAAAATTATCCTCTTGTAAATCACCCCTGAGGGGAGAAGAAGAGAAATGTGATGTGCCCCACCTCTGAAGGGTCATTAGTGCAGCAAGCTCCTTGTACCAATTCCAGTGATGAACGTGTTTGACTTGAATTGTACAAAATCTGCTTTAAAAATTCATGTTTTCTTTTTCCTCCTGCCCCGTTAGCTCTGTGTGCTGCTTGAAAAATGACTCACCCCTCTTGAGACCGCTTTAAATTCAAACAGCTGAATCACTGCTTTTGACCGATGTTTTGTTGAAAGATTCCCCTGGCATTTGCCAGCTCTTTTGGGCAAACACCTTTTTTGCCTTGTCTTGCTGATACATTTGTGTGTCCCATCAGAGAGTGCAAGATAAAGGTTTTGAGCCAGTTTTTGTCAGAACAGTGGAGGCAAACTTCAGTTCAATGTGAAAGTCAGGCCAGGAAGTGACAGCTCAGGTGTGCAGAGTGTGACCCGTCCTGGGTGAGCTTACACATGCTGTGCGTGCAGCAAAAGGTGTGTGATACAGTACAGCTGCGGGTACCAGAGAGGCTGGGTATTTTGGCTGTTTTCGGGTGTATTGTTGTTACTTGTAAATAGATGTTTAGGACAGTTTTGTATTCTAAACAATGACACCTGGAGACAAAAAGACTATCTGAGAGTTAGTGTAAAAAAGCTATGATCACACAAAGGGAAAAATACACTTTTCTTACTCACCAGAACAGTCAGGAGTGGACAGGGGTTATGTTGATCACAAATACTCACAGATTTTACCATTTTGTCTGCAATAACACTAAGGCAACATTTGCTTCAGGAAAATATTCTAGATGCATGGCATGGAGGCTAAATTTTAGCCAAGCTATTTCTTTCATGATGTAGCTGTTATCTTTCTCATTTATGTCTTGAATAGGTGTTGATAAATGTTCCCATTTGCACTAAAATTCAGAAGGCAAAGAGGGTTTCATCTTAGTTTTGCCGTGACCATATGCGATCAGGAACTATTAATATTGATCATCACAATCTAATTCAAAGCAGAGAGCAAAACTCGGGATGTTGAAGCCTTGGGCAAAATTGTCATAATTTACTGTTATGGGGAAAACCTGATGGTTAGCTGCTTAGATTAAAAATCCCTGAGAGTTTTCCACAGGAAAGTTTTATTAAAGGCATGCCATGAAAATATAGTTATACAGCACTCCTTGCTCACATATATAGTTACATATATATTTATGTATCTGTAAAAACTAATTCCCTTGCCTATGTTAAATGACATTTTAGATCATTTAAGGGGGGGGGGGGGGAATCTTTGTAATACCATAGAGTTATTTGTATAAGTTGTATTGCTTTTTTTCTAACTTCTTGTATTTTATTCAGCTCAACCAAATGCTTTTTTCTCCCCGAAAATCCCCAAAGCTAAAACCAGAAGGATCAGTCAGCTTCCTCAGGATAGCTCATTCCTGTCATTGTGACTGCGTGGAAACATTTTATCTGAGCATAACTGGTTTTGCACCATGGAAATATTTAGCTCAGCTTGAGGAAACCAGTTTGGTGTTCTCAAATACCAGGTTGGTGCTGTGAGCTGGGGTAAGGCTGCCCTTGGTGCTTGGGTATGCATTGTTGGCCTATGGGACAGGGACAGTGCAGGAGAGGGAGCACAGGTTCCCTGCCACCACATCCATGCGTGGCAGTGCTCAGGCTTGACTGTGGTGTGTGGTGACGACTTTTGTCAGGGCAGTGCAAGCTGGAGCTGACACCGGCCTGGAATGCCTGAACCCCGTAACCAGGACTTGGGAGAAGGGAACAGGGCAGCCCTTTTCTCGCTTCCTGAGATGGCACCGTGTGTCCTGCAGGGCTTTGCCCACTCCTGGGACACAGGCAGGACCCAAGCCTGTAAGGATCATTTTCACACTGCTGTGCACTTGGTGAGGTGGGTACAGTGAGCTGTACTGCAAGAATTGGAGACGTGACTCCCATGGTTCAGGCACGGGTGCTCAGTTTCATTCAACATCATCTTACTGAGGGGCACATGGCAGCCATGGCCCTGGGGACCGCAATGGGACTGTGGATGCTGCCAGAGATTAGCTGCCGTCATCCTCAGGTGGCACCAAGCTCTGTGCCACAGGTAACCATGCCCAGCTGTCATCCCCTGGGAGTGCATGCATCACCTGCATGTGTATGTCCATCTCTATGAGGCATTTTAGGCAATTGTAGATGGTACCAAAGTTACACTCTCAAACTTGTTACAGGCTGGCAGAGTTATATTCTGCCCACATTTATAGAATAGGCTATTAAACCGATACAGTGAGTCACACTACATGCTGAGAAACACTAAAAACCCAGCCTCATGTACCCCCTTCATAGATACTGTGTGTCCACAGTTTGCAGACTGCAACCTGGGCAAAGTTCTTCTCAGCAAACAGCTGTATATATTTAAGTGCAGGTATTTTTCCATTGAATGATAGTTTTTGAGTGCAGGGCACCCTTGCCAGGCAGGTTTTTTTGTCCCAGCCTTGTGTCTGCATTTGTTTCTCTACAAATTTTTCCATGGAAAATTGTCAGCTTGGAGATAGCAGTTTAGCTGGATCAGTTTTCATTTTTGTCTGAACGTGGCATGCTGCCAGCAGGTTAGAGTTGAGGGCCAAGCATCTGGAATCTGAAGTTCTATTCCCAGCTGTTCCATTAACTTGTTCTCCAACCTTAGGCAAGTGGGTTTGGGGTTATTTTTAATTGCATCAACAGAAACAGTGTGCCACCTCAGAGGGTTTAATTAATGTCTGTAAAATATTTCAAGATTGTTGAATGAAGACAGGAATGATTCCACACGGTACCCATGGTGTCTGATGGCCAGGCCCAGGGCATGCCAGCCCTCTGTTTGCAGAGCAGGCACTAGGACATTGGTATCAACCTGACGTGTGAGCCGCTTAGTTCCCTTCACTCCCTACCTGAGGCACCTGCATCAACTGCCAGTTTCTTTTCTCAGCTGATCATGTTAAAGCTCTAATTATATTGATTTTAGAGCAAATAGAATTGATTTTAGAGTAAATCACCTGGAGATTGTAGGGGAGATCCAGAGCCCATTTAAATCACTAGGGACCTTCCATACACTTTGGTGGATCTGGGGTGAGCAAGGGCAGTATTTACCAGATCAATGCTCCAACTATGTTAATATGTAAGACCATGTTGAAAAGATAAGGAAATGAAGATGGAGCTGATCCAATCCATTCATCAGCTTCTTTATGACTTAGCTATCCTGTCCCATTTACTTTCTTGTTATAGGCATGGGTGATATGGCTGACAGGTAGACACAAGCCAGATCATTCGGTTATCATGAAGTCCACATTCACACAACAGAATCTGGTTTCCTCCCTGTTTTGAACAATAAACTGAGATGAAAAGGATTGTGTTGCTAGTTATGTGAAATGTTTTAAGTGAACTTGAAAAGAAAAAAAGGCCTGGTGTACGACCATATCAAATAGGTTTTTAGCCTAATGAGCAGTGTCTAAAGCTTCCCTGTGTCACATTCTTGGATCTTACATCCAAGCAAAACACCCACTAATTCTAACAAGAACAGAATTCAACCCCATTTGTAAAAATAAAATATGCAGGCTTATAAGGCTGAAATTTCCTCAGTGGAGGAATTTCCTGTAGTAAAAAAAAATCCTCATTAAAAGAAAAAGAATCAGGGAGAAGTGCCGCAGAGAATTTAAAGTACCTGTTTTTTTTTATCAAGAACTGCATATGTAATATTTTGTGCATATAGGTAGCCCATGACTGAGCCCAGCTGTACACTGTTAGAGTAACAGATCTGTCTGCATTAGCCTCTGTGAAGAAGCTTGTAAACAGAGGAGGAGAGTCACTGTGAAGTCTGAAAAAAACCCCTCTGAAACATAAGGCAGCTGTGAACATGACTTACCTCTGCGGTACAGCCATTCCTCAGTGAAGCTAAAAGGGTCTCATAGATCTAAGGAAAAAGAAAAAGGGGGCAGGAAACTTTTATTTCCTTAAAATCTTAACATGTGCCTGTTCAATGTTTCTGCAGGAGCACCACAATGGTCAGAGCTATGAAAGTGCAGATACTTCATGGATGATCTACAGACTTTCTAATACAGCTATCAACATACAGACCAGTTTTCTCAGAGCTGCTGGTAACTGCAAAAGGTAGGTCTGAACTGGGTTATGTCTCTAAGATGCTTTTTAGATTAGCTTCTCCTTATAACTCCAGAATCCAGAGTTAGTTGTGACCTTTGAAATGTCTTTATTCTTCTCATCATTGTTTTGACTCTCTATACTCCAAACTAAGATATCATTAAATAAGCTACATTTAATTTAGGTGCTCCTAACAATTAGCCCTGTAAGCTACTCCTGTCTCTAGATCTACTGAGAGCACCACGAGGGGTGCCTGGGTATGAGTGTGTCTCTTTGTGCTAGCTTTGCTACTGCAGCACTGGAGATTGATGACTGTACCATGCTTGACCAAGGTCTGCTTATTGTGCCATGCACATGGCTACCTATACACATGCAGTTATGCTGTTTCAGTGCTGGAGCAGACCTGACTAGCAATGCTGCCTGTATCCTGCCCTGGTGCAGTTCATGCCAGGCTCAGATCTTTGGCAATGGAAAGAGGAGGGAAAAAGGGGGGAGATTTTAGCAGCACATTCCCAGTTTGCCGTCTAACACTGTTCTGCCTGAGAGTTTTATCCTCCCCTTTGGCTTCCTGCATATCAGTAAGGCAGGAAATGGTGTATTCACAGTGATTCCCAACTGAGGAGACCAGTCCTGGGGGGTTACTCTTGTAGCAGCCATTGCTCAGAACAGTTTCTTCTGGTCTTGAGGGCTACATGCCTATGAAGGCAGCCATCTCCTTCCTCAAAGCTTGGCAAGGCTCAATGATCTGATCCTCTCCCAAGGCCCCACTGCTGAGGCCTTGTAGTGATCTCATCTGTCCTTGGGTTTGTCAGTTGCTGGGAGAGGCTAAAACTAGCATCTTTTCGCAGCAGACTGTTAACAGAAAGGTTTTGGCCACAGACATTCCAGTTGGTCATCGGTAGTGGAGCAAAACTACTGATGAGTCTCTGAAATCACCTGTCAGAGAGCAGTTTTGGGTTAAATAGGACCTAACCAAAGGCCAGCTCATCACCCAGTAGCGCTAACACCCCACAAACCTCTGCTGGCCCAGCAAGCGGGGTGATGGCCATTGCTGGTGACCAGCACAATAGGACTGCTTGCAGGGCAGAGCCTTGCAGCCCAGCTGGCAGTCCTGCAGCTTACCCCACGCAGCACATGCATGCAGGCCCCCAAAAAGAAATTGCTTAAAAGTTTAAAATTAATAATTCAGCACTCCTTTGATTTATGAGTTTTAACTAGTGCAGAATGTGTGTCCTGCCACATCACTTCAACCTTGAAATGGTTCACAAAGAGATGTGATTCAGACTCTAAATGTTTAAAACCAGAATCTAATCTTAGATACCTTATGTATGCTGTCGTCTCAAAAAACCGATAAAGACAGACAATGATGGACAGCACAGATTGAAATTAAATTCAAGCTCTGTATTAAAAAACCTGTCCTACTAATTCACATGAATGATTAAGCACAAAGACACTAAAGTCTGTGAGTTACAGCAGTGCTGAAGTGGTCTGTGTCATCACTGTCTTGGTTAACTTTAGAATAAAATAGTCCAAACCCACCACACAGGGAAAGGACATCACCTCCTCTTTCCCCTCTTTTCTCTCAGAGATGCAGCTAAACTATTAACGTTTTCCAGCAAACAGAACATTTCTAATCTTCCTTTCACTGGAAAGAAAGAGAAAATCACAACCATAACCTAAATCAAAAGCTATAATAGCATTTGGGCAGTTACAGGCTCTTACTATAGATAGGTGGGTCAAAGCAACCAGCATTTGAAACTTCACATGCAAAGAGCAAAAACATAAGTCAACACAGCTCTCCACTGAATATTATTGTAAGAGGAGTAAGCGCACCAGGGTATGACCCTATTAAATACCGAACCTGTAGCTCCAGAATAGCACAAAACCCAGATGGATGATCTCATCTCGAGCAGTAATGTGCCAGAATACAAATAGAGGATTGCAAATGCTTCAAGTGCACAAGAAAAACAAAATAAGACTGTTAAAATAAAAGGTGGAACATTATATAATGACAGCTGAGCAGAATGAGGGATTCTAGACCTGCTGCTGCTGCAGAAACTGATGGTGATCATTCTGTTCCCTTAGCTGGACTTTAAGGCCTCATTATGGGTCTTCTGGATGTTATAATCTTATAGCAGTTTCACAGAGTAAAAGCAGCAATAAGGCTAAACACCCCATCAAGTGAACGAGATGTGGATATTTAGCCTTTTCTAAAGGCTAAATAATGGTAATGTCTGTATTGGTTTTTAGTTTGGGCCTAGCGTAGTGCACCCACCAGTCTCTGGCAGAGGGTGCTGCAGACTTCAGGTGGAGCAGAGGTCAACTCTGAAGGGTCAGTTGCGTTATCAGGTATGAATAGCATTGTACGTAACCAGTGGGTGTTTATTAACAAAAGAAACACAATTTAGTTTGGGCAGATGGAAGTGTTTTATATTTCAGTAAGTCTTTCTGCTCTGGCATAAAAAAAATCCACTGCTATCATTTCCCAATGAGCTGAGACTGAGAGGGCCTGTGTGCCCATGGGGGCTTCAAGTATGAAAAGTAAGTGCATGACTAATCCATGCACTGATTGTTTCCTTCCCTGGGCTTTCAGAGGAATGTAAGGTTGTGGTCCAGCAAGTGCCACCGAAACACAACACAAGGTGAAAACCCACACGAAGAAGGGGCACATGAAAGAGGGCAAGGAAATGAGCCAGACCCACAATAATGAAATTCCAAATAACATCCTGGAGGCAGCTTTACAATTATGAGTATTGCCATGGACCCAGATGCAGCTGCAAGATACATGGATTTTGGTTTGGTTTATATCCCATGGATTGGTGTCCAGGCTCTGCAGCTAGCAAGTATGATCTCTTACTGAATAGGAGCGTAGCCACAGGAGAGGGAAGATTAGGCGTATCAAAGAAGTACATTTTTCATTTCACTCCTTTCTTATTACAGTAGATTAAAAGGGGGGAAAAAAAGAGTTTTGTTCAACATTCAATTTTGAGGAGAATTAAATAAGCCAAAAACATTGTTCAGAATTAGAGCAGTGAATAAAGGATTTCAAAAACACAGTGTGTGGTTCATGGTGGGATTTTTATTTCCTTTTAAGATGAGCCATATACAGCTATTGTCCCCTCTCCCACTGAGGAAATAGTTTCTTTCTGAAGCGTTCAATCTGTTAAGACACATAGGTGCTTTAAAAGCTTAAAAAAAAAGAAGGCAAGCACTCAAACTCTCTTCTGGTTCAAATGGCAATTATCTGAAAAGCAGCAAAGAAACAGGAATATGTGGATAAATGAAATAGCTTTTGATTGCCTGGCTATGAATGATAGTAGGATTTGTCCTCTTTGGGAATGACACGCAGTAGCTCACAGTATACCCTGGCAAGACAAAAGTCAGCCCTGAGTGACTGGTACAACAGCAGTGATCTTATGTAACATGGATGGTTATTACAAGCCTGCACAGGAGCAGTCGCTTTCTTCTCTAATGGGTGGAGAAATGCTCCTCATCACCAAGCCATAACTGGGCGTGGGCAAAACTCTTAAACACTTCCTGATAACTATGGGTCTGGGAAGTCTCTTTTCCTTCATTTCTGCAGGGATTGTTAAACACTAAGACTTCCACAGTCGTTGTCAGGCTCCATCAAAACAAAGGCTAACAAAAGAGGAAGGCTGAAAGACCAGCTCTGGTTTACAATTCCATCATTCATCAAACAAAGGTTTCTCAAAATGAAGACAGAAACACAGACTAGGCAAGCACAGAGCCTGAGAAAACAATTACTGATCATTTTAGCATGTGTGCTGCTGTCATTGATTCTCTAGGGAATCCCATGCTCCAGGCAGATCTGGCAAAGCAGACCTCTAAGAAGACAGGAGCTTGTGTAACAGAGAACCTGGAAGCTTCAGGTGCTGAGCTTGGTGGTGTTGAGCTGGGAATGAGGGGTGAAAGCAAGTCACAAGGACCACCGTGCTGAGATTTACAGTGCAACAACTCTAGTGACTCAAAGTGCCACATTTCAGTCCTTCAGAGCGTAAAGCAGAATAGCAGAGGACTTGAGCCAGCCGCTGGGAGAAGAATGGCAGCCAGCCATCCTCCTTTAAACTTCTGAAGCTGACAGTCTCACTCCTCTGACTGCGAGAGGAAGAACCCCAAGCAGCTTCCCCTATAAGCTTTTTCTGAGAGAAGACAATAGACTTGGAAGAGGCCCAGAGAGAAGGCAACCTCTGCTCAAGATACAGAATTCTTTAGCAAGGGAGTTCTCAGAGAACTGTTACACCACATGCTTAGGTACAAATGGGAAACCTGACTGGACCCTTAGTTTATCAGGCTAAATGGAGTGTTGCAGCCATGGGCAGTATGTGAAAGTGGGGTTTCCTGATCGCATTCAGAGACTTTATTTAAGGCCATACAGGTACATGCTACGAGGGCATACTGTGGTTGAAAATGGTTGTGTTGCTAACAGGACTTGAGAACCTGGAACAGTAAAGGACTGGCCACAAAATCTCATCAGTTGGCAAATGCAGGACAGCTGAATTTCAAGCTCAGAACCATTTCAAATCTTATGCAGCTGGCTAAAAATCCCATGACAGTTTGGGTATTTGTGAATTTATGAATTCCAGTCTGAGTTTCTGAATTCTCTGTATGGTTCTGTTTATAGTCATGGCTCTGCTGGCCTTCAAAGGTTGCACAGCTTAGGCTGAGCAGGCTGAGACACATATGTCCAACACAGCAGCCTGCAGAAGAGGGAGGCTCAAGCATGGCTGTAACAGACCGATCAGAGAAACCATCTTGAGGAAGCACTATGCCTCACGCATGCAAGCTAGCCAAGATCCCCTCCATCCATAACTGCTTGCTTGTAATCTATAGCATGCAGAGTGGCAAAAAGATCTAGTAAGGTGTCAGAGGGAAACCTGGCACTAGAGAATAAAGAGTAAATTCCTGGCCAGAGGCAAAAAGCCCCAAAATTCTCTTCAGCTGCATGAGTTGCTCCATATTAGGGAAGTAGGGGCATCATCTGAGATCTCTATGTGCTTGTTTGCTGGTGAGGAGACAGGGAAACCCTTTGGAGAGGCTACAGTGAGCACTGGGATTCAGACTTCCTGCTGGTGGTTGACAGCCTGCACCCATCTCTGAACTGTGGCTGGGAGATGTCCAGTCAGGGGAGTTTTGTTCATAGGTGCCGCTATGGAGTACAGTGGCTCCCATTATGCAGAGGGAAGGTTCTTGTGCTCAAAGAAATGCCCCGTAGAGGGGTTGCAGTAGGGATGAAAAGGAGGGAGACCCCCAGTGTCCTTTTTTCTTGCAGATGAACCAGATGGCAGGAGCAGCGGAAACCAAAGGAGGAGCAGGAAGCCTTTAAGAATGAGATTGCTAAAACACAGGGAAAATGGAAGTTAAAAACTCGGCCTGGACAAAACCGAGCGCCAGAATGGAAAAGCAAGCCCTGGAGGAGCTTAGCCAAAAGGGGAAAGAATAAAGAAAAGCAGCTCAGTTCTTCAATTCAAATTCCAATTCTGTGCTTTCAGGAGAGGAGTCTTAGAGAAACTGAAGAACTGGCATTGTCTCCTTTGTAGTTGCAGCTGCTCACAGTCACTGCCTCCATGTTCCCAAACCTAGGCAGTGCCAAAAGCCTGCTGATTTCCCAGGATGTAGAAAAAGAGCACCTCAGAGTGACCATCACAAACTCACACATGCCAGGAGACACACAGGTAAGAAAGGTTCTGCTGCAGTATGCCACAGCCCACGACAGCTCATTATTGGCCGCAGCTGCTCTGCATCAAGTCATTGATGGTGGTGGACATGTAATGTTCCCACCGAAAGCCCTACTTGCTCAAGCAGGGCTTTCTGAGCTCTCTGGAGAGGTGCTGCTGAGCCTGCATATTAACGGGCTTTCAGGTCCCAGGACAGATTTATCAGGCAAGAAGCTCTCGCTGCAGGATGTTGCACTACACGCTCTTCTCAAGAGTACTCTCATTTTTCAGAGCAAATGCCCATAGAAAGGGCATGATGTCAAGCGTACCATCTGCAGGATGCGCTGTGCTCCTCCATTACCAACCGCAGACCGACAGACGCTGCTGCTCTGTCACCCCTGGAGGAAGCATTACAAATCTCTTTCGGCACCCACCCCCCAGTTTCAGTAAAGATCCATGACACTTGATGGAAAAAACCAACATTGTATTTGATTTACAATTAACAGGATTTACAAATAATGACAGAGAAACAGATTAGCCATGAAATTAGGATGCCTTTGCTGATGAAGGAGTAGCTGGCAAAGCACCTTTATGCAGAAGTCATGTACCTCAGTCCTAAACAGCGTAAAATAACTTACAGCCCAGGCAGGTTCAGGAATGATTATACACAAATAACAAGGAGTTGAGTACAAAATAAACCAAGAAACCCCTCCCAGCCAACTGGGCCGGGAACCAGCTCTGGTGAGGCTTTTGCTTGCTGGAAACTGAAGGAAAGGCCCACTGACAAATACTAGGCAATTGTCAAAAAGGGTGGGGGGAGATATATCAACAAACAGTAAAAGCCACTGTGTGACAACCTACCGGGCAGGGAGAGCAGGCAGCAGACACTGCGTCAGCTTGCTGAGAATCAGCAGAGTCCGGGCGCTTGGCAGGACAGTGAACGAAGGAGTACAGATGGCAGCGCTTCATTAAAATGCTACGTTACTGCCAAAGACTTGCGAGACAAAGAGGAATAAAGTTCTCTGATGTGCAATACAGCAATTTAAGAAGACGTACCTAACCTTTTGATTTGTACGGAGCTTACCTCTATTGTAAACACACACTTCCTGACAAAGTTATTTCAGTTTTCTTTGCTATGGGTCATGGTGTGTATTCAATCAAATGCAGCATTCCAAGGCTCAAAACTGACTGAGTGGTTTCCAATAGACTGGTATATGATTTTTCCAATATCATACTAGTATTTTACATCACAAATACAATAAGAACAAGTGATGGTATTTCTAGGACAGTTCCAAGATTCAAATAAAAAAATCATCAGAACCATTCTAAAATAAGATATTATACATAATCGAATCATGTTAAACAGCACACTCTCGGCAAGCAGCTAATTACAAGCATTCTGCTGGTCATGTTTTTCACACAAAAGTCATTCAATAGCACATAAATATTTCTTTTCTGATCTGCTTCTTTTTACAAAACCATTCATCAGATTCACAGAATTAGTACAAGTAAGGCACATTAGCATATATCATAAAACTCACAATAATAACAAAGAGTTGTAAAGTTTTAAGGACTAATTCCTTCTTTGCAGTGATTTCTGAACTGCACGAGGCTTTATCAGTAGAACCCTCCTACACTGACATTACTCTTATTTCCGTCACAGCCAGCCGTGGTGGGTGCAATACTGTGCATCACCACGGACATAAATAATTAATTTAAAGAACTGTGTGTGACAGCAAATCCCATTTTCAGATCTTGCAGAGAAATCTGACACGTTCAGGATGTTCATTATGAGCACAGACTAAGTTTTAGAGCTATATGGAAGTCAATTTCCAGTTATCAAAATAAAAGGGGATATTGCATGGGTCTCTGAAAATGTTACTGTTTTCCTAGTACAAATATTGCTTAACCTAGAAAGGATGCTATAGTATTGAATTTACTTGCATAATGAATCCTAAATGCTGATGTCCCAGATTCTACTAAATTAAATGAACTATAGGGTTTCCTTCTTCCACCCCCCACCCTGCCCCCAACCAAAGGACTCTCCGTCCCACAGAAGATTCATTTACACACGACACAGCTTTTAATTAGAAGCATAATTTACAGTAAAAATTCTTTACATTACACCTCTGCTATCAAAAAAACATGAAATCTTTCATTTAAAGTTGTAATTATACATTAAAAAATAGAACACTATTTCCTTAACAGGAAGAATGAATTTGAACATCTTCAGATCAGATTTCTTTATTGCGGCTTTTGAGTCAAAGGTCAGTCACTTTATTCTCTAACGCAGCTGCTATTTGCTGTAAACGGAAGGCAAGCTGCATTTTTTGTGCAGCTGGATCCTCTTCAAGTGCATTTATAATCTGGAAGAAATAAACACAGAATGTTTAGAATCATTTAGCTTAAAATATATGACAGTTCCTGGACCCAGTGTTTGATACTACATGGGTTGCAGAGTCTTTTGCATTGACTCTATACCAAAGATAAAGTCCATCAAGGAGGTCCCATGTTCTGTTTTTACACAAAGGCAATAAAAATGATTGTCTCCATTACTTTATCTAAGTCATTGTAATGTTTCCCCTTATGCTGAGATCCAAGCAAGTGAATGTATGTGAAATATTACATTCCAAGATGGAATATTATAGCTATTTATCTTTATAAATAATCTTTATTTTTTATATCTTTATAATCCTTTATATATATATTTTATATTTTTATAATATTTTATTATTTATAAATATCTTTATATCAATTTAAGAAACAGTGCCTTTGCTTACAGCACACCCTACAAGGCTTAAGGGTCATTTACCAGCAGCAATTAAGCCCCATCCCCATGAGCTTTGGTTATGAGATGCTCCTGGGTGGTCCATGCACAGGCATGAGGTAGGGCAACATAAAATCTCTTGTGTCTGTCGGCAATACGAGGAAGAAAACAGCCTGGCCACAACATTAGGGAGCTGCCCTTTGGCTCTCACTGAGAAATGCCAAGGCTCTGGCCCAGCACCACGTAACTTGGGAAGCAAAGAGCTCATTAGAGGAGCTCCCCAGCATCCCACACGCTGCCCCTGCTCTACAGAATATATATAGGAAGGTATGACTTGAAGACACCAGGGATTTGAAAACAAGAGCTAGAAAAGGTCAACTGTTATGAGAAGGCTTTTTTTCAAATAGAGTTTTTTAGGGCTTCTCAAGATCAAATTTCAAAGGTTTCGAAAGGTTTTAATTTCCACCATCCTTTAGGAAAACCCTTCCACCAACTATTAGATTTCTCCAGTAGAAGAATGTGTTACATGACAAAACTTCCTTTTCTAGGACTGGCTTTATGAATAGAAGTCAGACACCCTAATCAAGCAGAAACCTTTAGCTTCTGTTTAAATACTATATCAACTTGCAAGTACAAGAACTGGAGAAATAGAGTTTGCCTGTCACTACCTGCGTTTCTTACTACTTCGTGCACATCATTGACAATGGAGATTAATGCAGTCACTATCAATCTAGCCAATAATTTCATTTTGAAAGGCTGGTATAGCAGTTGAGTTTCAAACAGCGAAGCAGATTTGTTTGGAAATAATTATTTTAATGGATCTGGTTTTAAAGTGTGAAAACATTTTTACAAGACAGAGTTAATAAATACTTATTACTGTATTTAAATTGGGCCTAATTTAATTTGATATTGTTCCCTTAATTTAAACAATTACATCTAGCTATAACTCCTCAAATCTAGAATAAATAATTCATGATTATCTCTGCTGGTGAATATATCCTTCAAATAAATGTGGACAATTAGAATGTACCCACTTAGTCACTGTCAAGCCCTGCAGAGATACAGAAGGTACAGCGCATGCTGGGAACCACTGCGTCAGTAATAAAGACAAGGGCAGCTGCAAAATGTTCCAATTTATGCAAATTAAAACATTTTCATGGAAAATAAATAAGCTCCATTAATTTTACTGAATGGTTCTTGACAGATTATCTCCATAACTCTGAATTAGCAGCCTTTTCATCAGATGCACCTTGTTGTTACACAGTGATGTATGCAGAAGCAAGAGCTGTAGCCACACACAGGGACTTGCTGTCTGCCACTGTTGAAGTTCCACAGGCTGGTGACTCCACCTGACCCTGCCACCAAATGTGAAGACACGAGGGGAAGCAGGGACACAGGGGTGTGGAAGAATCGGGGCTTTATGGTTCAATCGTCATCTGGGGTCCCTGTGGTTCCTGGTAAGAGGTCAGGCCATGGATCCATTTAGGAAGGTGTTGAAAGCCAGCTTGGTTGGTGCTGGGGATGAAGAAACCAATGCCACCAGCTTGGCCTGCATTCCTCTGGCTGCTTCCCCAACCAACCCTTGTTGCAAAACTTCTCAGAGTAATTTGATTTTCCCTGCTCACATCTGCTTAAATGCTGCAGCAGGCTGGCTGCTCCTGTACAAAGCAGATGCAGTGAAGCTGAGGATGAGACTCACTGACTTCAGTGCTAAATGTAAGTGAAAACATGAACTGTGCTGAGGTGCAAGACAAACCAAAGAGAGCTCACATGTGCTGTACTCCTTTTTTGTTCAGCATCTGTTCTTGCTTTGATTTAATTCTGAGAGTTTTTTGGAGGCATTCATTTCCATGGAAACCTTTGAATAAAAGTTTCTTTCTCTCTTTTTGTTTTCAGATTAAGTTTGGAGAGCCATAGCCACAGCCCAGCTATACTGGGAATTTCTTTGTCCCCCTTTCTACAGGGTGTGAAAAAACAGAGAAACATTTTGGACTGAATCCTTTT